TATAAATAAAAAAATTCTGAATCACACACCCGTTTTTTTTTTTTTACATACAGCGGAGCTCTTTTTTTTTTTTTTTTTGTGTGTGTGTGTGTGTGTGTGTGTGTGCATGAGTGTGTGCTGGGTGCATGCATGCATGTTCTCATGTACATTGGCACATGTGTGTGCAGGTGTGTGTACATTTGGAGGTTAGAGGCTAACACTGGATAGCTTCCTCCATTGGTCTCTGTCTTCTGTATTGAGGCAGGATCTGTCTCTGAACTCATAACTCATTGGTTTGACTAGTCTAGGTAACCAGCTTGCTCCAGTGATCTGGTATTTCCACTTTCCATGTACTGAGATTATAGGTTTGTTAACAAGCTTACTTATCATTTATATGGTTACTGGGGGGTCCGTCCAAAGTCTGGTCTTTACACTTGCATAGCAAGCACTTTATCTGCTAAGCTATCTCCAGGCATCTAAAACCAACTTCTTGAGGCAGAGCGTAGAACTTTCATACTGTTTTTCTTTCAACACTAATGTGATAACAGGTATGTTAGCCATTCCTTTGGACAATGATGCCAATAATACAACAAAGATTATGAAATTCAGTGTCAATATTTAATCATAAAAATGAACCGCAAGTTTATGTATAAAATATAGCCATGTACTTCCATAGGCTATTACATATAAAATAACACACACACAAATATACATATGCACAAAAAATGGTTATGTGTCCCAAAATTCTATTCCTATATGAAGAAAACAAACAAAAATTCACAATATAGTGATCAAATGTCACTGGAAAAAATCACTCCTTTGAAAAAGTACAATTATCTAAATGTTACAACGGTAGGAAATTTGAGTCAATTGGTACCAATATTTCCTTTTAATAATATACATTTTCCTAAAATCTTTATTTGTAATCATTCACTGACTCATTTTTTATACTTTATTTCCCCTTAAAGCCTATAATCACTTTTAAAATCAAGACAAAATAAAATCTGTTTTCTAGGCTTTTATTGTGGCAGCATTATTCTGATCCTGAATTATCGCACCTAGAAAAATGAGGTGGATTTCATAAAAATGACATTTCCATAAATAAACTGAATTTTAATTTCTCAATTTAAAACTCCATGAAATAAAAAGTAATAATTGAATTTGGAAAGAAAAAAGAAATTAAAGTGTGGCTATTTCCAGTTAAAGCAGATGTTTACAGAAAGATCCAGGTGAATCTCTGTTTGAGGACAGATTAAGACCGAAAATCAGCGAAGTCTCTGGATATCAGATCAGCGTATTTTGGTTTTGGCAACAAGTTACTAAAGAAACATTTAAAACAAGGAAGTCATTTACAATAGCACAAATGTGAAATAACTATATTTCTACAAGATTAGATATCAAATATACTATTTATATATATGGATGTATGTATGTGTAACAAAAATAAGAGAAAAGGAAATTAAGAGGCAGTAGGGGACCATTGGAGCAATGGAAATAATGCAAAGACAATACTCATAAATTAATTCTCAAAAATTCAAAATAAATGAATCTTTATATGTTAAGTACCTAGCAAAGACTGGCAAAGTCAGTATCATAAAGATGACTAGGATTTAAAAATAAAGAGTAAGGAGAGTTATTTTAACAGTTTTCTTAATATGTAATGTATATTGCATAAAATTTGTCCATTCATAGTATATAAATAAATAAGTGTTTTTTTTTTTAGTATAGCTGTATATCTACAATAATCATCATTGTCAGGAGTCAGACTTTCCATTTCCTTAAAGTACACTAGGTATCAAATAACAGTTAAATCTTGTTTCCCCATCCATGCAGCTCTAGGCAAATATTGCCCGCTTGTCTATTTCTGTGGGTTTGCCCATTGGTATTTCACAGAAATAGACATGTGTAATATGTAATCTGCTAGAAAGGTTGAATGTTACAAATATAATCTTGAGCAAAAAGATCCAGATAAGAAGTAATATTTGTACTTTTTAGTATGTTGACTATACTTCAAGAATTATCTTTTAAAAGACCTTTGCAATAAAATAGAGGACATGAAGGCAGGGGTTGGGTGGTGGGGTTGAGCTGGATATGGGGAAAAGGATCTGAATGTGATCAAATGTATTGTATGAAATCCCTAAAGAATCAATAAAAGTATTTTTTAAAGTTTTTAAATGGGGCCCAAGAGGTGGCCCAGAGGTTAAGAGCACTGATTGCTTTACAAAAGGACCCAAGTTTGGTTCTCAGCACCCACATGGCAGCTAACAATGATTCATAACTCCAGTTCCAGGGAATCTAACACCCTTATTTGGCTTCTGTGGCAATTTCATGCATGGGTGCAGTTATACACATTCAAGCAAAACACACATATGCATAAAATTTTTTAAAAATTATTTTAGAGAACTATATAGCAAGATGAAAATAACTCAAAAATTCATAATTTGAACAGATAATATAATTCACTTTGAGATGTACACATTCTTAATATTATGTTCAGTTCCTGAAGTCTAAATTACCTGACAGATTCCAAACGCAGGTGATTTAGTCTGCAAGTCTATGTTCACAGTTATATATATGCAAAAATGTAGTTTTCTGCTGTAAGACCAGCAGCTGACAGCATAGCACAGTTATGTCCATCCTGATGTGGTTCTGTTATCCTGCAATGGTGGAAGCACATAATTCAGATGCATTTTACGGGGATAATCTATAAACAAGTGCATTTCCCAAGTAAGAGTGAAAAACCATATCATGAAAATGGAGGCTGGTATTTTATTACTAGTACAGTAAAAGGTGATTATTATGAAAACTGAGTCACTCATTCTTCGTGTTTGTATGAACATTCTTGATTTCATCATCTTTTCACATGACTTTAATTAAAATGAATTTATTTGCATTATTCTTCTGAGGTTTTCTTTTACATGATTTTTTCCCTTCTTTTCCACTGCATTATTCATAGCAACTTACTTCATTGTGAAATTTGAGCCATTTTTGACAACCACGGCTGAAATCTGCTCTTATGAAAAATTTTAGTCCAAGAGGGACGTGAGAAGAATTTCAGAAAGTCCTATTAGAAAAACAAAGAATTTTCATCAGAATAAAGGCTTTTATTATTTTAAAAATATACTACTGTAATGTTTCATAGTAACTTTATTGTTCAGTATGAAATTAGTATAATAGACATTTACTGAATATTCCACCCAAGTACCAAAGAATAAACTTTGTATTTATCATTCCATGGAAGTTTCTCTAAAACTGACCACATACTGGGGCACAGAACAAACTTCAACAAATACAAAAAGTGAAAAAAATCCATTTATTCTATCTGACCACAATGCAATAAAGCTTAAATATAACACCAAAAGAAACTACACTAGCAGTTACATAAACTCATGGAGATTAAACAACACACTCCTCATTGATGAATGGGTCAAAGAAGAAATTAAGGAAGAAATGAAAACTTCCTGGAACTAAGTGAAAATGATAATACAACACAACAAAACCTCAGGGACACTTTAAAAGCAGTCCTAAGAGGGAAGTATATAGCTCTAAGAGCCTTCATTTCAAAACCAGAAAGATAAAAAAACAAATGACTTAACAATACAACTCAAATCCCTCGAAAGGCATGAACGAACTAAATCCAAACCCAGCAGATGAGAATAGGAAAAGTCAGAACAGAAACTAATGAAATAGGAACAAAGAAACTGAGAGCACTTTTTATTTTTTAATATTCACATTTATAATTTTGATTTAGAATCAATTTTTTAATGTTTATAGGTAGAAGTTCTTTTATAAAAAAGGAATTGTGATTGATTTATGTAATTTAATAGTTACTTGTGCTGACAACACAAACAGCAATCATTTAATAAATTTCAGAAATTATGCATTAAATTCTGCGGGTGATATGCTGAGGTCTATTTTTCTGTTCCTCAAAGTTGTGTTTTAGAAGGAAATTAATGGGTTGTTATTGAAATAAATAACACAGTAAATGACAGTTTTGTCTTCTGAGTACCAGATTATTCTTTTCCTAGCTAAACCCCAATGTTGTCTGTTACCATACTGGTGACATCTTGATGAGGTGGCATTCCTTTGTTTCATTTGGTCACTCTGATAGATACAAAGATACAAGCAAATAAATTATTTGGCTGGAAAAAAAGATCGAAAGGGATTGGCACCTGAAGATTAGGAACTATGCCGTGATTTAACATCTTGTGTCTCTCATCCAGTAGAAGAACTTGATGTTGTCCCTCAGAATCCACACAACAGTTGGTGGATCTTGTAAGTTCACATCTCTTTTGTGTGGAAGGGAGTCCTGCTAACAGCACTGGGTAAGGGTGAAAGTACTAGGTAGGGTGATCTGTCAGGAGAACTGGTAGGGATGCTTAGCCAGAGGAAGTGCTTCTCCTACCAATTAAAGGACACCAAGGCAGGAGCTGGGGATGGAAATTTCATGACTACAAATAGCCATCATAAGGGCCTCTTGTCCCTAAAGGGGTGACACTTATTGTTCCCATCCAGAGACACCAGAAGAAGTGGACTGTAGAATGTTATACTCACGTAAACACAGCAATGAGAATTAGCAAACTGTGGATTAATAATTCAGTAATATGAATGAATTTCCCTAGACCATGAAAGAGTCAAAGGGTATCAACATAACAATGCATCATCCTGATTCTAATCATATAAAACTCAAAAGCATATGAAACTCATTTGTAATAGCAAAAGTCAGGGAAATGGTTTTAAAAAGAAAGAAATGATATGTGCATGCCCAGGGGAAGGATTCTTGGAGGAAATGGAAACTTCTGCCTAGTGATCTGATTGTAATTGCCTAGATCTATTTACCTTCTGATTCATCTGAACCATTGTGATATGTATAGATTTCATATATTATAAAACTAAATAGCAAAGCTTATTTCAGAATAAAAGCATCTCTACAAGAATGGCTTTCCATGTGAAGCAAAAAACTGGAAATGATCATTCATTATCAGTATATAAATAAAATATTGTAAGCCTAAATAATGAAATAGCATACAGTTATAAATAAATGAAAACATGTAAGAGTAAGAATGAATTCTGAAACAATAACATTGAGAGGAAGAAAGAATTAGCAATGTTTGTAACAGACTCTTACCAGTTCTTCTTGATTGTCTATGTACAGCAGATTAGATTTGTTGGAAGCACAGGACACTAAATGCTCATTCCAAGTTTTTTTTTTTTTGTACTAATATAGTAACAGTTGTGGGAATATGTTAACCAGTCCTTTGGACAACGGGTACATGGGTTTGCTGGAGAAAGATAATGTTTATTATCTAGAAGCAATATGAATTTAAAAAATTATTTATTATTTTTATTTCGTGTGTGAGTGTATTGCCTGCATGTATGTGAATGCACCTGTGTCATGCAATGCCGTGGAGGTCAGAAGAGGGTTTCAAATTCCCCTGGAACTGGAGTTAACGATGGTTCATAGCCCTCATGTGGGTGCTGGGAATTGAGCCCAGGTCCTCTACAAGAGCAGTCAGTACCCTTAACCGTTGAGCCATCTCTCCAGCCCCAAGAAGTAATGTGAATTTTTAATAATGAAAATTAATATGTTCACATAGGTTTGAACATCCAGGCTCACAGACTGATAAATATTAAACAAAATGTACACACAAAAACCCAGTTACAGAAAGGACTCACCCTCTGGTTTACGTGTCAATCTAAGTCAAATAAACAAAACTCTTTACCCTACAAATTTATTCCAAACCATTGAACACAATCTCTCTAGGATAGTGAATTTGTTTCTGTCTTATCATAGTGTCCTAGTAGGATATTTGAGTTTGAGTCAGTTATCAAAAATGTCATATGTATATTCTACCTGAGTACTCTTATTATAGTGAACAAAAAGGGTTTCCTTCCTATAATTTGTATTTGTGGACATGTCCTGTTCATATTTCTAGATTATTTTATTCCAAGAAATCTATTATCATTTTCCCATGACTTAACTTAGAAACAAAATATAATTTGTACACATATCAGGACTTTGAAAAGAATCCTGTACCTTTATGGGTTCTTGTCAGGGAAGAGTTCATCTGCTCCTTTACTTTGGGATCTAGAAAAGTCAAAGCAATTCCTACGAAAATTAACATCCAAAGGAACCTTAATCTTAATTTCGGTTTCCTAGTTTGAAACTGATGTATTGTTTTGAATAATGGGACATGCAACTGAAATTGTCCTAAAATAATTATACTGAAAACTTTGGAGAAAATTACTCCAGTGAAGTTCAAAGGCGGGTCCAAATTTCAACATCTTTTACAGTACAACCGTGATAAAAACCGCTTTCAAAACTTAATTTGCATTTCTCAGTAAAACAAGATTTTGGGTTATGAAATAATATATAATTAACAGTAAAAATTTTATATAACATTTCTGTTATTTATAATTTCAACAAATTCAGAATATTGATTCCATATTTAACCCAAATACATGCATTAAAAGTTACGCTCGCTGCTTGACAACATGAAGTACTTCATGGTACTTCTAATCATTAAAGTGGAAAGTTTATTTATAATCTTTCAAAACTACATTCACATGAAGTGACAGTTGTGGCTGTTACCACCAAGGCGATTGTCAAGGCAAAGCAGATGATCCCCAGGAGCCCAGCAACGAGCTTCTCTGGAGGTGATGGAAGATCTACAGAAAGAAATGGAAACACTGAGAAGGGAGGCTGTCCACAAAGTTTCCGTATAGGAGAGCCAACATATGCAGTGAATCATAAAGATAAGCTAGCGCAACAACCCTTCCTCTGCAGCTGTTATCTATTATCTATTGACAATACCATCACATTTTCGGTAAACAAAATGATCCGTAAGTTGTTTCAACTATGCCGGATTGAATGAAATCCATGTTCACATTTAAAATTAGGGTAACAAGGGTCAAGTTAGAGTTCCAGTGTTCCCAAGGGAAGGTGTGGTCTTACTCCCACTTCTACCCACGCCTCCGCACCCAGCTACCACCCTACAACAGTCACACTGAGGATACATTCAATGCCTTACCTTTGCAGAGGCAGTCCCGGCCATTCTCGGGATGCTCCTGAGTCGCACGTTGAAGGTTCAGCATAGGTGATTTCCTACTCCGCTATTGAGATGCAACTTTGAATTATCTTGGGTCTCTTTTGCTGCTTCCTTGGTTCCTTAGCCACATTCAGTTCGGCATAGGTGACTCCTCCATTGCTCATCTCTGCAGCTGCTCATCTCTGCAGCTGAGTGATGTCAGGGTCTGTGCTATAGTAATTGTCATAAGAACCTAAACAACCTGATATAGTCAAAATGGGCGGAGTCTAAAAATTCCCCTCGAACATTGAGCATAGTTATTATGGTAAAAATAAGCAATTTAAAGATACTCTAATTTTGACAAAATATTTTTGATGGAGCAATAAAAAACAATAAATTAGTGAAAAACAAAGATGTTCACAAATAAAGGATGTTCTATATAAGCTAAGCTCAGTTTTCATAGGAATAACACCATGAAATGTTAAATGCTTATATGAAAACTCACAATGCTGTAATAGAAATGAATGGTGTGTTCATTTTCACAATAAAATAAAATCCAACAATGGGTAAAACTGAGCTCTAAACATGGGGCCCATGAAGACTGATCTCTGTGTGTGCATGTGTGTGCGTGTGTGTGTGCGTGCGCCTTTGTGTGTATATATATATATATAATTTGTATATTACACTTAATAACATTTATTAAAGTGAATTAAATGTTATTAAATGTCCTTTTAATTAGAGTAATTGAGCTCTGACCTTTTCCACAAAGCTATGCATTTTTTTAATGAGGTACGGTTACTCACAGGAGGCCTGTGGGAACTGAAAAGGTGAAATTCAATGACAGAAATCTAGGACAACAATGCCTGTGATCTTCACAGACTGCTCTGTGAAGGCTCAGAGGGAGTCAAGGGTGGAAAAGTAGACTTCTTACTAATGCACCACAGAAGGTTATACAGGAAATTCTCACACTTGAAATCAGTTTTTCTCATCACACACCTCTAGAATACGGGACCCTCTGGGCTCCTGTTGAAAGGACAAAGTGATGCTCTCATATAATGTGTCCTTGTATAAGTGTCTCACAATTTTTTTTACCTATTCTGTATGATAAGGGGGCTGATCATGCATACCTATGTCATAAACAGCACTGGATAAGAGAACGCTGGATTCTCTACACTAGAATAATCTTTCTTTTCCTTTCTCCTTTTTTTTCCTTATTTCCTCTTATTCTGACTAAACTTTCAATTTTGTGCATCCTATACAAGTATAAACAGTATTACAATGTTTTTTATCACAAATTCTAATTATATCATTTATATCATGAGGGAAAAAATTATAAAACCCATAGGAAATTACAACAAATACACAATAATATTTGTTATTGATTGTTCTGAGCAATGACTACATTTTCAACCTTTTATAGCACAAAAAGCACTATTGAAAGCTCATCTCCTCAAACTCATCATTTTTTGTTTGAGTTCTTATAATTTCTACATTTCATTTCATGTTTTAAAAATAAAATTATCTTCAGAATTCTTTTTACCAAACAAATATATTTTAGATGGATAAAACTTTATTGATATTAAGCTAAGTCAACTGATAGAGACTGTATAAATGAATAATATAATACCCATCTCTGTCAGGTAGGATAAAATTAAATCACCTGTCTTTTCAAGTTACATGACTTGTGCATGGAAGCCTAAAGACTCCATCAAAAAGCTTAGGAAGAAATAAGTAAATTGGAAAAAGTGTAGCAATTAAATAAAAATTCAATGGTATTTCAGTTGAGTAACAGCAAAGTATCTGAAAAAGAAGTACTATTCACAGCAACATCAATAGGAAAAAAATCATATTGTGGGTAACGAATGTTGGGATTAAAATTGTGAGGTCGGGAACACTGAGGAATGTTAATAAATGGGCTTGTAGCTGGATGTGAGGTAGCCAAGCTGACCAGGTAAGAGAAAGGACAAAGCTCTGGGAAAAACAACAACTCTACTCTCCACAGGCCCCAACCCACTCCATCACACATCACACATACAAGGCATCACTGAACTCTAATAAACATCTCAAGCTTATGGGTAGTGTGATAATTAGCGTTGTCAACTTGACAGAATACAGAATCATCTGGGAAGGGATTCTCAAAGAGAAACTGTCTAGATTAGGTTGGCCTGTGGTCATGCCTGTGGCAGATTTACTGAGGTGAAAAGACCTACTCTGAATGTGAGCAGTTCCATTTCACTTGATGGGCCCTAGGCTGCATGAAAAGGAGAGGGTGAGCCCAGCACTGGCATACACATGTTAACATGCTCTTCTCTGCTCTTGGCTGTGATAAGACTAACTAGCTACTCTAAGTTTCTGCTCCCTTGACTTCCCTACAGTTGTTGGATTGTAATCTGAATTTGTAAGACAGATAAACTCTTTTCTCCCTTAAATTGTCTTTGCTAGAGTATTTTATCACAGCAACAGAAACAAAGGAAGCTAAGATAGGTAGTCACACCACTATGTATATGCATGCATGTACTCCATCTAATTGTAGTAAGTTGAATTGTGGGTAAGGATGACCTTTAAGTAAGCCTCTGCCTATTTCTGGAGACTACCCCTACCTGCCACCAGGGTTGGACAAGGGGAAGAGAGATGATAGACCAGGACTGAAAACTCTACCTTCTACAGGCAGATCCTTTACCATTGTTTGGTTTGGTTCATCCTTCGCTCTGTGGGGTGTGTTTACTTTCTGATTTTGCTTCCTTATCTGCTGAAATATACCTAGATTACTGACTGTGCCTTGATGCGAGCGTTCCTAGGTGAGCACCAGAACCAGGACTATTGCCATCAGTGGGATGGGAGATGATGCAAGAGGAAGTTTTCTCCTCACTCAGAACAGTTAGGAATAAAGTTAACTGAAGAGGTAAAGATTTGTTGAACTACAAACCATCAAGGATGCAAACTGAAGAGACAAACGGAAATACCGCCTACATTAATAAATATTTTTGGAATGCCTATACTGTCCAAAGTAATCTACACACTCAATACAATCTCTGTAATACTTTCAAAGGTATTTTATAGGAATATGATAAAATATTCTAACAATATGGCATCTCAAAATATCCCATATATCCAAAGGGTCCCTGAAAAAAATTAACAAAGGTGTAGACTTCATATGATATGAGCTTAAAGATATGTTCTAAAAGTCTAGTCATCAAAACAGCTTAGAAACCTGTCATAAGAACTTAGAGACCAATGAAACAGAATAAAAAGTCAAGAAACTTTGACAAAGTTACTAAGAGGAAAATATTACAATATCACTTAGTACCTAGTATCCTGAGAAAACTTTGTAAAATGGAAAGTCAGTAAAAATTAAAGAAGCCTTTCATTGTAGTGGCCAAAAGAATCCACTTCCAAAAAAAATGTTTTTATAATGAAAAGAACTAGTTTCAGCTGACTCTTAGCAAAGGAAATATTCTAAGACCATATAGTAGATGAAATACAGCCAAGATGAAATCTTAAATGTGCAGAAAAGAGAGTTGAAGAGAAAATATTTTTTACATACGCAATTGGCTATTGAAAGAATATGGAGATGTAGTTATGCATTTTTAAATCCATGTAGCTGTTAGATGATAGATCAAAGAGAGCATGAACTTACATTATAACCACACTGAGCAAATATGCCATAACCAATAGATGAATAAATTGAATAGTTATGTCTTTACATTACTTCTGATGAAGTAAAAATCCTAATTAGACTTTAGTCAGGGAATATATGGTATAAATGTACAGCATTAATAAAAGTGAAAGAATACAAAATTAGCAAATTAATTTTGTGGAAAATGAATAATAAAATATTTATCATTGTGCTTGGGTTATAGCTCAGAGGCAGAATACTTGCTAACATTCATTCACAAGACCCTCATTTTGATATTCAGCGCCATGTTTATACGTGTGTGTGTGTGTGTGTGTGTGTGTGTGTGTGTGTGTGTGTGTGTGTGTGTGTGTGTGTGTGTGTGTGTGTGTGTGTGCCCATGCATGTACATGTGTGTGGACGTTAGAGGACAACTTATAAGAGTTGATTCTCTCCTTCCACCATGTGAGATCTGGGGATCAAACTTAGGTCATCAGGTATGTTATCAAGCACCTTTACCTATTGAACCATCTTACCAGCTCCAATTTTCAATTCATGTACAGAATATTTATATTTTAAAACAATTTTTTGCCATAATGACACTTCTACATTTTGAACCTTTTCTGTAGATCTATTAGAATTTTAGTGGGGAAAAACTATATGCATAGTTTGCATTTCCCAATTAAGCAATACCTTCAATAAAGCATTGGAAGTTATTTTATTGTAAGTGTAATGAAAGATAAACGTATGGATTTTAAAATATAGCATGAAGTTATGTAGGTAGGGAGGTAGAAATAGCAAAATTTAAAAGCCAGATGTATCTCATGTATTCCTTTATTTCAGACCTTAAATACAGAACCTGAAGCACACTTCTGAATTGTAGCCCAGTTGCGCAATTGAGGTCAGATTTTTGTAAGTGGGAATTGAATTTGGATGTGTGACAGTGTGTAGGGGCAGACCTGGAAATGAAGGATTGAGCTGTGTCTCAAATAGTTGAAGGTGTTTTTGTTGTTTTCAAAACGTAGCCATGTGCCCCCCTTTTTTTAAAATTTTTAAAAAATTTTTTGAGACAGAGTCTCTACTCATGGTAGCTCAAACTCCCTATGTAGGTGAAGACAACTTTGAACTTTAGATCCCCTTGCCTCTACCTCCTAATTATGGAGATTACAGGCATGAGCTACCACACCCAGTTCCTGGGGTGCTGGGTATTGAATCCAAGCTTGATGTGTGCTAGACAAGCACTCTAGCAACTGAGTTACATTCTTATTCCTTGTTTTTATGTTTTGTATCCTTTATATTTTGGAAGAGATTGATATTTCTTTCAGATAATCATATGCACTAGAGTTACAGCAATTCATAAAAGACATAAATATATTTCATTCTTATAATGAAGGTGATTGTCAGGGGATGGTGAATGATGACAAGCTAAGTTAACCAAGGAGGTTATACAATGTCTGCATTAGAGGACGTAACCACTATGAACTTTCATACAGTCCCTTCCTCCTGGCAGAACCAAGGAGTACAGGTTTGGGTTTTCACTGTTTAAAACAAGGTATACAAGGACATTTGTTC